CAACCCTAACATGCCACCTGAAGTGCGCACATGATTTGTCCCGATGCTTCAAACTTCCTTTACGTTTTCTGGAGGAATCGCGCTTTGGCACTTGAGCGAGTCTGAGCAGCGCGCTCGCCGCTGGGCGCTTCTGTGCAGCGCGCTCCCAGCTGAGCGGTTCTGATTCGGAGCCGCGCTGCTGAGCGCATCTGCGGCGCGGCTCTGAGTTGATGCCAGGGTTGTGAGCGCTTGTTGATAGGAGGTACCGATATCTAAACGATATCGTTGCGATATTACTCAAATTTCAGTGTCGCTTAATTTTTGTCGGTGCCACCTCTTGGATGTTAGCCCCGTAGCTCCCCGACTCGTTTGTACTGCGTGGGTAAGGCCGGGGCGAGTTGTGGCTGAGGACGCCGGGAGAGTACGCAATCAGTACATAAATTGTCAACGAGGGTTGGGGCCCTCGGGCCCCAATGTATTGGTTTTTGCGGCTACAATTTTGTAGCCACAAATAGGAACGTCAAGTGATGTTATGTAACGTACCTTCGCCACTGAGCCGAAGCACTTGACGGGGCATTGCAGACTCTGCCCCTATCTCATCCTCCACAAGTTGCAAGAGAAACTGAAACATTTGCATGCGCTCTTCGTGCAAGCGCTGCGCGTATTCCCTTTGGCGCCGTTCGTAGTCTCTCTGTCCATTTGAAATCTCCGTCGGTGAAAAAACGTAAGTAGATGGAGAGCTGCTCGGGTGTAGCTCGTACCCGTCGTTTGCGCTCTGGCTGATTCGCCCCGCTCACTTCAGTAGTTATGTTGTACCGCACGCCGGGCGGTCAAGCGGGCTTGCCTATCGCCCATGTCCACGGCGCCTTACGAGCCGGCCGAGTGGGCGACTAGTCCGCACTCGTGCGTGCCGTACAGAATAAGCACAGAAGTGACTGGGTTAATCAGCCACCCGGTGTACAAGGACACTAAAGGGGGGGGGGGTGAACGGCTTTCACTTGGAGCCCCTGCGCCTAGGGTGTAACCGCCCCGCTCTGCTCTTTCATTACCAGCCCTCTGGTAATGAAAGCATCTTTCCAACCTGTCATGCCTTCGTACATTCATGGTGTGGGGTGTCGCCATCGGGTGGGCCGGAGAGGGAACGACCAAGCTCTCATCGTACTCAGAAAGTAGTGGCCAGCCAAGAGAGTAGCATGCAAGAATAGCGCAAATGTAATTGTTATTACCTTTCTGCCGTCCAAATTGTATGGACGCTGGAAGCTCGATTCGGGACCAATGGGAGCTACATTTCTGCGCAAGCGCCACCAGAATATTGACCGGTACAGTCGTGATAGAGCGAAGTGCCTTCATTCCGGGTACCTTCGCCCTACGTCCATAAAGGGTGTGGCGAGCGCTGAGAACCAAGGCCGATGAGAAGTACATACATACCCTAGGTAGTCACCACTCAACGGGGCCTCAAAGATGACACCCGTGGTACCCGTATTTCATTTCCCACTGGGGACCTGCCCTACCCCGTAGCACTCAGTTAACTAAAAGAAAGCCTTGACATGCGCCTCTTAGGGATTGTCCGAAAAGCACGTCTGTTTTACTTCAGATTCATTCGGCAACTTACGGGAGTTTGGCGCCTGTAAGACTGAGGGTAGGCCACTCCGCACTACACGCATGCACTGAAGGGAAGATGTTGCCTACCTAACAGGCGGTGTAAGAGGGTAACCTTCATGTTCACAACGGCGAAAGACAGGCGTACTTTCTGGATGAACCCCAATGGACCCACCCTCCTCCTCCATTCAGAGAGGTAAGTCCTGGTAAGTACAAATCTACCCGTCGCCCAAGCAAACATATTAAATGTACAAGGACTTTTGTTGGGCATAAAAAGAAGCGTATTTGTGCACTCTACCAGAACCAAATTGCATTGGACAAATTACCAAAAAAAATTACTAGATCGCTTCCGTCAAAGAGATGCAAAAGTCACACTACATTCCAATGTGATATAGTAAAATAGTAAAGCTATCATTCGATTGCCAGAGTGTGTGTCGAAATAATAAAAACTTGCCTGGACAAAAGCGAGGGCCTCTCGCAGTGAAACCAATCTTGCCTGGTGTATCTCGCCGAAGATGTCAGCCCGCTGGTTGCTCATCCTAGAGTAAATGGTTCCTCAAGCATAGAAGAAAACGATCAGTAACGCCAATGAATAGTTTACTTGTTGCCCCGGGTAACAGAGGAAGTCAGTCCAAGACCTCCCTCTGCCATTATGAAACGAGAAGGCGCA